AGAGGGACAAACACCAGTGCTTGTACATGGACCCAAGCTTGTAAGCAGTGCATTCACCTTCTTTTTACTAATGTTGTTTGAATATTTAAATTATTCAATGAAATTTGAATTGGAACATTTCCCCAGAAAACCCACATCACTGATCTACAGCATCCATGTTATACACTCTTGTTAACAGCCCTTTTTGTAGTAAAATAAAGTAAGACTGCTTCCAGACAGGGGTACAAAAACACATCCCTGCCACCACAGAAGCATGAAGCATTGTGGAAATGGCTCCCTGCCCTCCCCTATTCCCACACTGCTTGCTGAGGCAACACCCTGCTGAATTTTGTAAACAAATTGTGGCACTACCCCATGTTCCTGGTCAGAACCGAGAAGGAACAATGGGGACCAAACATCTATTAAATCCTTATATCTCATCCTGAAACTTTCTCCATCACTTTCTACCATATGCCATGCAGCCACTTGTTTTTCTGTAAAATGTAGGTACGGTTCTTCCGTACCATTAATAGCTTTTGGGGCTTTCTCCTTTGTCATTTGACCCACCTTCCTTATTTCGATTCTTTGGGCAAAAGTCAGTTGCTCCAAAGGACATGGGTCTTCTTTCTCCAGCAAAGGCAAATTACCCTGAAACCATTGACATCCCTACCAGATTCGATACTTTAAAGCCAGTTTAGCTAGAGAAGTTCAAGAGGAGGAATTTAAGTAGAAAAGTTGCCACCAGGGAGAGCAAGTATTGGACTTTTCATATCTCAGCTTATTATTCCTAATATTACACAGAAACTTCCCCCGATTGTCCTTTTCTTTCCCAAATTCCCCATCTGACCAGATGTCTCACTCTCTCCCTTGCTTCCACCCGTCAATCACGTTCACGGCTGAAATTTGATTTCACTCCCAACAGTAACCTTATATGAAATATTACCATAGGGGTCAGTACAATCTGAACCTTGCCACAGAAGTTCATTAACTCTTCCGAGGTCCAATATCTGTTTGTTTCAAAGTTACATGGTTTTAGCGCTAATTTTTTTTTGCAACATGAATCTGTCAGCCATTACTATATCCCAGCCTGAGGAGGAAGAAAATGACTTGATCTTTCTCTGGTTTCTCACAGACAGACATTATAGTCATCCACAGAAACACACGGGCTTGCCTTTCCCCGAAACAAACAAACAAAATCAGAACACTGAAAATAAAGATTAATTAAAGCAAAGCATGTGGGCTGAGATTTTTTTGATAGCACAGTGAAGCTTCATGCAGTTGTGCCTGCTATTTACTGACAGCTTACTCCAGAGTCACCTTGTTAAAATTCTCTCAAGAAAAAATGTAATTAAAATTGGTTTGTTAACAGTCATTCTCTTCAGTTTGGCATGTAGTAACTAAGGCTACAATTTTAAACTTTTTCAACAGTATTTTACATTATACCTGAACAAAACTGAGTATGAGAATCATATCCATATAAGCAAGCATAAAGATATGAAAGCTCAAGAGGGAAAAAAATGGAAGATTGGTGGGGTCACCATATTTTCCCTGAGGACCTATGGTCAGTTTTCCTGATGGGAAAACTGAAAATTTCAGAGAGCACTGAAAAAAAACCCCATCTGAATGAGTTGATGATTTAAGGCAAGGTTTTACTCAGTCAAAACATTTAACACAAAAGTCTGAGGGATTTTTTCTTTCTTTCTATTTTGCCAGTGTACATTTTGGGAAGCACATTAAAGCCTAGGAATTATTTATCTATTTTGGAATTTATTCAGGGTTTTTTAAAGACAAGATGTCACTCAAAATATATAGAATTCTGTTTCTGATGGACAAACATGGGAAATTTGGGAGAGCGCCGAAAAGTTCCTATGAAATTTGATTAGAATAGGATAGGCGTCTTTTGGAAAACATGAAATGTGCTAAGATAGCATCAGCTGCAGTTCTCTCTCACTTCATGATCTGGCAAATTTGCAGTTTTCCTTGTAGAAAACTAAGGCATTTACAGTTTTAAATTCCAGAAACGTGTCCAATTAATACAATTTTATATGCCAGTTAACTTATAAGTGGTGCATTTTTTGATATTAACAACAGAATTGGATTAGATGTGATAACAAGGTACTACATATAAATGCTGGTAAAAACTGAAATCTTTTCCCCCCTGATGACTTCAAAATTTCCAGAGATTTGCATCTCTAAGCAGGCAGGAACTTTTTTGTTTACTAGAAAACTTCTGGTTCTTCCACCCCCCACACCCTTTCAGACCACAGATGTACCACACATTTATATAGCACTTTTGCATCCTTCCCTCCCTCCAAGGAACACAGAATGCACACTGCTGCACCCAATTCATCCTCATGTCAACCTGACATGGAAATGAGAAGTGGTGAACAGCCCAAGGTCACCCAGTGAGCTTTACGGCACTGTGGAGATTTGAACACAGGACTCCCCGATCCAAGGCCTCCCAACTAGGGGCAGACCGGGAGGAAAAAATAGCCTTGGAAAATGGCCCCACCCCTCGATCTGGTCCACCTCTGCCTAGCCAAAGGAGGGAAGGAGGAAGTGCTAAATAGAAGAAAGGAGATGCCATGGCATCCTCTGGGTTTGCCCAGCCTTCCCAGCACTGTGTGCAGCTGGAGTGGGCACTGCACTTCTCAACACTGGTCTGGCTGGTCACCTACCCATCAGGAAAAGCCCCGGTCACCATAACAGCCAATCCACCCTTACTAGCAACTCCATCTACTGTGCCACATTAACTCAGAGAGATATATGGTAGCAAGTGGGCAGGTTTACGGTGTTTTTTAAAGCAGACTTTAAAGCGACATTTAAATGCAATAGTACCTGTGAGCTCCATACAAATACCCAATACTATCTTGCATCTTAATTCTCCCAAGTGTAAACTAAAGTGGGATTTTAACCATTCACAAAATGTCTGAGGGGCTACCGAGAACCTGGAGTCCATTTCATTCTACATCTACACAGATAAACATGGAGGTACTGCAAAGGAAAAGCAAATGTGATCCAACATATCCCCCTTTTACCCATTTCCCAAACCATGTCCTTATAACCAGCAAAGAGGCTTCTACTGTACAATTAAACCCTCTAACAAACAGAATTTTCAACTGAATGAAAAGAAAACTACATTCTACATCACAGCAATATTTTGCTAAGCCAATAAAATGGGCCAGTCAAACTTTTCACTAACGGCAGAAGTTTGATCATTCATTCCCATACATAGGGCTAATTTATTCTCATATCCTATCCACTTTTTTTTTTGCTGTCAAGTCACAGCTGACTTATGGTGACCCTGTTGGGTTTTCAAGGCAAGAGATGTTCAGAGGTGGTTGGCCATTGCCTGCCTCCGTGTCATGACCCTTGTGTTCCTTGGAAGTCTCCCATCCAAATACCAGCCCGGGCCGACCCTGCTTAGCTTCCAAGATCTGATGAGATCGGGCTAGCCTGGGCTATCCAAGTCAGTGCCCTAACCACTTTGCTAGATTTTCCCCCACCCCTTAAATATTAGGAGCTCAGGAAAAACCAACCCTATAAGACCTATGCCTTCCTCTTTCTAAAGGAATACTAAAGCAACAAAAAAAATTTTAAAGGAAGGGAGAACAAAAAAGGGGGGAGAGAGAGAGATTGTTCTTGTCATTAATAGAGTATGTTTTCACATGGTGGATCATATCATTTGTCTTGGTAGGCATCACTTATATGACAAGAAATGGGGGGGGGGCTTTCCAAATATCTATTAGGATACAACCCCCCAAATATCTATTAGGATACAACCCCCCAAAAAATCAATAAATTCAGCCAGTGGTACTTAACCTTGGCCTCAGCAACACAACCAGACTGACCAAAACATCAGAGTGGAAAACTGAAATTCACTTAAGGAATTCCTTATAATCTGGGAATACTAAAAGAACCCCTCAGATATGGATCTGGCCCCTCGCAGCAGCTGCAGCACAGCTGGCCACCGAACAACCTCCCTACGATGACCCAAGGAGCAGCAAGATCCCTAGGCGCCTTGCAAAGAGAGCCCGCTACTTCTGCTGGGAACCCCCACCCTGAGATGGCCCTTGTACCTTTCACAACTGTGTGACAGGTAACAACAAAAACATGCATGCATGCAACTTTCCCAGTGGTGGCCTTCCCATATGCAGGGGAGCTGTAACTAATGAAGTTCTGCCAAGCAGACAATTACTAGAGGCAAAGAAACTCTGTTGGGGGTGGGAGTACAGCAATCCTGCTGTCGGATAAGAAAAAAAAAAAGAAAAAAAGAAAAACTTCTCATCCCTTCCTTCCTAGCAGAAAGTGAGATGCAGGAACTGTAAATGCTCATGCTGGTTCCTGTTAGCCACAAGGGCCAGCTAAGACCAGGACTGCATGTCTGCACTGTGCAAAGAGAAAGACTGAGATCATCACACCTGGAAGTCCCTATCCAAGAGAGGAAGGAAGGAGAAGGTGGTCAGATGTCCATCTCAGCACCAATGCAAACACAGAGACGGGCAAGGGAGGGAGGAGCAAACACTAGAAGGCAGCTCACTCCTCCCGCTAACATCTGCTTACCGATCATTAGAACACGTGCTTTGAAAAACTCGGCCAAGAGTATGAAAATAAGACCGCCTCATTCGGAGACTGAGGCGGCACCATTGCACAATAATGTCACTGAGGCAAATTGAGTAGCACAGATCTTTGATAGGATCTGAGACAGATTGTCACAATTCATGCTCCGTAACTCCACAGCACATTTCAGAATGCGCTTGGATAAGCCAAAACACAACAATGGCACCACATCTGCAAAAGATGACACACGCCCACCAAGTTACAGAGAAACCTGCTTGGTGTCCAAAGAGAAAGTCAAGAAAATGCAGTGTAAAGGCCGCCCTCGCATAAAAACTAGCAGCTTGCTCAAAACTTTGGGGGGAAATCAACTCCCATTGTATTCAATAGATTTTGCATCATGTCCCAGCTTGGCAATTTGGTTTTTAAAAATCCAACTATACAAAAAGGAAAACAAATGGTACCTTTTCAGACTTCAGGCAACAGGGATTCTCACATCACTGATGTAGAAGATTCTCTTGGGTACCTAATTAAGTAAAATATATTAAAATAAACAACAGAGCATTAATAAAGTGTTCCAAAAAAAGCTATGTTTGTATAAACCCTGTACAAAGCAGAGATAAGTTAGTTTTATGTTTCTTTAGCAATGGTTTTAAACAGTACACTGTTACAGAACTGATGCTTAGGCAGTACCGTGTGGAATGGATTTCTGTTTCACGGAATACTACAAGTTCTCATGTTTGTTAATGTAATACGAATTTTTTGAAGTCAGAAAATAAATAGCCTTCTCTTTCTCTAAGCTGTGAACTACAATACTTCCACGTTCCCCCTTCTACATTGATTTTTATATATATTTATATTTAATTCAAGGTATTAATTAGCCATGTTAATGCAAATAGAGAGATCATATGTTCTTTGTTACTTTCCAGACAACACTGCAATATCAAAAGGAGAAATCTTATTTCCCCCCTTGAATATATTTGTTGTGCATGTTTCAATTGCCCCCCATCCAAAAATGCATTTTTATTTTTATTTATTTTATTTATTTACATTTATTTTCTTATGCATTGTAAAGCTGTAACTGGTGTCTGCCCGAGACAGCTGCGGTGCAACCGTAGAGTAACCCCATCAAAGTCAATGCTCCACAGTAAACAAGCTGAACATACGATTAATGAAAACTCTGCCTGCCAGTGGACAGAGCAAATTTCAAAAGTGATCTCTGATGTAAAGAAATCTGCTTTCTTGGCATATAATGAATCTCTGGCCTCCCTTGCTCCCACCAGCCCCTTCCCCAACCAATCAGGCTAATTATGATACCAACTTGTATTTTTTTTGGGGGGGGGGCTGGGCTCAGTCACTATCTTGATGGCCCATTCTGGAGTTATGGTCTATAAATTACCATCTCACAATCATGTAGTTTACATGGGGTTTTAGTTTTTAACTTAAATTATGTGGAATTGTTTTTATATGTCTGGCCGTTATTTTGTGACCCGCCCTGAGCCCGCTTGCAAGGGAGGGCGGGATTCTAAAAACTGCATAAAAAATAAATAAATGACAAGAATAGAAATTCTGTATCTTGAGGGTATTTTTTAACATTAAAAGAACCAAGAGGACTGATATTCTTAATTGAACAAACTCCTAAAGCACAGAAGAAACACCCACTATATATGTATTTTTTACTATTTTGCTATTCCTCTAGATACAGATCCTTGTAAACACCAAAATTTATTGGTATTAATGCATACTATTAAAAATGGATACACCGAAAGTACAAGTAAAATGCGCTGTGTTGTACAGGAAAACACGAGGGCGGACTGTGAGATGCATAATGATGGTTTCCAGATGCCTTCTGTGCCTGCCTTCTGTGTTATTTTTGGATCAAAAAAGAGAGAGAAAGAGATTGGGGATACTGCCTCCTTAAATGCAATATTTGGCATTCCGCCCAGGATCTCTTAAAGCAGATGACTTCTTTAGACCTTGGGTGTCATTTTCCTCAAGATGACCTCTGCTTTCATGCCAACTGGCGAATCCATCCGATTATGAATGCATTCATTTGGAAGGGATAGGTATTCAATTCTTTACTCTCCCCCCATCCCACCCCCTGCACACCTGAAATGCATCCAAAAAAATTGTTGTTGTCAGCATCCTTTTATTATTTTAAAGCTATCCAAAGGATATCCCTGCTCCGGCACAACCCCCAGCACAATTGGATCAAAAGATCTCAAGCCCAAGAACAGAACCTCTGCAAAGGCAGTGCACGGAGTCCAAATACTCCACTCAAATGACGTGGTGATTAGGGATTAATAGAGAGAGGAACCAAGAAGTTCAGCATTAATGCAGCCCAGAAAGGCAATAAGATTTATTCATTTCACATGGCTGATATTGTTCCTCTTTCTTTTCATCTGGCAGCACTGGCAGGAGAGTTAACATTAGGTTGCTCCCCCTCATCACTGTCTATACTACATGCTTCTGTATTATTATTATTTTTTATTTTAAAAAACCTTTCCCAAGATAAACTGCTGGATCTGACACAGTCTAATCTGACATAAATTTCATCTATTTACCGGTAAATCTTACAGGCTGCTTACTCCTGGAAAAAAATGACTTTGCAGTAAGTCCCTTTTCCCACCCACGTCCCCAACACTGGAATTTGTGGTGGACTCCATTATGCCCTGATCTCAACAGCCCAGGCTGGCCCGATCTTGTCAGACCTTGGAAACTAAGCAGGGTCGGCCCTGGTTAGTAACTGGATGGGAGACCACCAAAAAGTCCAGGCTTGCTATGCAGAAGCAAGCAATGGCAAACCACCTCCGAAGGTCTATTGCCCTGAAAACCCTTGTTGTTGTTCAATCACACGGTCGAGTCCGACTCTTTGTGACCCCAAGGACCAGAAAACCCTACAGGGCTGCTGTAAGTTCACTGTGACTTGATGGCACTTTCTACCAGCAGATCAGCATCTCAGGTGCTCAAATAAAGTACTGTAAAGGAAATGAGTGCTAGAAGCCACTCACTACCTTCCTTTTCGCTGATTATTTCACCAATGGGGAAAAATGGCATCTCAAAAAGATTTTTAAAAATAACCTCAAATAAATAAGTTCCTAATGCAGGAACACTGTGACACCTTGGAATAACTGCAGAGGCGCAAACTAGCCAAATGCATTAGCAGAGAGATACTAACACATAAAATGGGGACGCCTCTCTTTTGCAAACAGCATCGTTCCCCCCCCACCCTAAGCTGCTTGTTATCTTTTCAAAGGGTAAAGAACAGCATGTAACACAAACCAAGAGAGAAAATTTGCAGGGCCGGAACTGCAACAAAGCAGCAACTAAGAAGCTTGGGCCTCCAAAGTGACCTTTGAAAAATATAAAAAGAGAAGGAAGTGACATATTTTTTGCATGTTTGTCGTGGGGATGATAACCCCCTAAAACCCAACAGAGATATGCAAGGCAATCAATTGCAGACACCATTTGAACTAAGAGGTACAGAAGTCATTTAGGGCAACACTCCCAGAAGCTGCTATTGAAACCTGGTTTTTAAAAATGCACATTTTAAATCTGCAGTTAATGATTCAACCAATTAACTCCTGTTTTCATTTACCTGCAAACGGCTGCTGAGACTTGAGAAGCCAAAGGGTCTCAGGAAAGCATCACACCCTTCAAGGGCTTAATTGCTCCATCTACAGAGGCCACTATCTGGTCTCAGAGCTGGTGCAGAAATCAAGAGTTCACCAGGCATTAGCATGCCACTAGAAGGTTCACATTCAAGGTGGGTGACACGCACAGACACAAGCACTGTAATTTTCCCACCCACCTACAAATCACACCACTGAAGTTTCTTTCAACCAACAACGGCCATAGCCAAAGACCTGCCTCTACTAGATCTGACCCTACGGAAAACGCCCTTGGATCAGGTCAGCATCATCCAGGCAGGTAGTACATTCTAGGTTGCTCAGGAAGAACTAAAGTATTATGCACCAGGCACCAATTTGTTTCTGCTGAAGTCCAATTTTGATGAAGGGGGGGGGGCAAAAGGACCTTGAACCCAACATGATCAACAGTGGGATCTCAGAGACTGCTTCTCCACAACCTTTTCCCCTCTGGGCATGGAAATGGTAAGGGAAGACTGCACTGGCCAGTGGCCCAAAGCTACCAGTTACTGATGCCAGACAACCAGTAGGTAGCCACCGTTCAAACTATTTAATTGCAGGTGCCTGCTTGAAAAAGCCATTCATAGGCAAGGTAACCTTGGAGTCCGCTGTTCCTTTAACAGGAAAGACGGTGCAGCTTGTTGTGAGAAAAGAGCACTGCACCCACTTGAAATTGTGTCTCCAGCCTGTTTGGTGTAGTGGTTAAGTGCACATACTCTAAACTGGGAGAACCAGGTTTGATTCCCCACGCCTCCACTTGCAGCTGCTGGATGACCTTGGGCAAGTCATAGTTTTGACAAGAGCTGTCCTTGAAAGAGTAGTTCTCTCAGAGCTCTCTCAGCCCCACCTACCTCACGGGGTGTCTGTTGTGGGGAGGGGAGGGGAAGGGAAAGGAGTCTGAAAGCCACTCTGAGATTCCAAGTGAAGGGTGGGGTATAAATCCAATCTCTTCTTCTTCTACTCAGCCCAGAACTTGCTGCCCAAAGATAGATCAGGGCCAACAGGAAAAGAAGGGCCCTTGTCCTTCTGTTCTATTCTTAGCAGCATTTCCCTTTTTGCTTTAGTTTGACTATGGCATAGGAAAGGACCGAAGAAGTACATAATCCAAAACAGATAATTTTTTAAAAGGAGGTACCTCCAACAACCTACCAAACAAGGCTGGTCACTGGACAAGCTGGTCCTTTCAGCAACACCCCGGTTGATGCCGGGTGGAGGAATCCATCTGCTTTTCGTTCCCGGGGTGGAACGGCCCAAAACAGTTGGGAGGCTTTTCCCGGCCTCCACTATTTGCCCTGCCTCTCCTGGGGTTCTTAAAACATGCCCGAAAGCCCTTCAAGGCGTAACAATGCCTTGCCTTATCCCCTGAATGCGCTTTTACGCGCAGGCAATTTTCCTGGTTCTTTGGAGAAGCCACCATTGGATCTGGAGAAGAATGGGGACCGGCTACATCCGGTTCCGGCTTCCCTGCACTTCTGCCAGGGCGGCGAGATGATCCTGTGCCTATTGATTGAGAGGCCCAAGCAAAGGATCGCAGCACGGGCAGCCTAAAGCCTAGCCTTATCCGAACAGCTTTCTGGCGCCTGGCTTCACCTGGGCCGGCTGTGCTAAAAGGAAAACTGAGTTGCTTCGGGCGGATTCTTCCCCTGTTCACCCCAGTCAGCACATTTGCGCCTTTGGTGAGGCTGCGATCCTATACCTTCTTACTTGGAAATAAGACCCATCGAGTGAGCTTGGGCTTGCTTTCCAGTAAGCATGCCTAAAATGGGGCAGCACGGGGAATCTTCTGCGTGTGGCCCTCTGCTCCAGCTATTTGCCCCGTGCCGATAGATCCTTTTTCAGGGCCACGGGATCTCCACGCCACCAGGGCACCTCTTTGCTC